ATATATATATATATACACACACACTGTAAAAAATAAAATGCTAATTTTAACTTAAAGACGTATAGACATTCAAAAATTTTTAAATTAATATGTTGATTTTAACATTTTTTAATGTCCCGAAAAATCCACTATACTTCTTTAATTTAAAATTAACATTTTATTTTTTACAGTATTCGTAGTGTGACAATAAAGTTTGGTAAATTTAATGAAAAAATAAATATCACTTAGTTAATATACAAATGATCTTATATTATTCTTCAAAGTAATTCCTCCCATATATGATTTACACGGAGTGACTTTATTCGCTTGAAGCAGCGTCTAGTTACGTCATAGTGAGTTCGCTAAAAACTTTTTCTAGACAATGGTTTTTTCTTGTTAGCGTATAGTTGCGACGAATACTGCTTTGTTGCTTAACTTCTTGCGTTTCTTATCGCTGACGACAAACGCTTCGATTTTTCCTTTTCCGAAGAGCGAATTTTAAGTCGTCAAGCGACCACTCGACGCTGCGACTTTAAAATTTTAGACGCTAGCGAATAAAAAACAAGCGTGTAGAAAAAGCTTTCATTAGCGAATACGCTGACGAATTTACTGATAAAAGCTTTTTCTACACTCTTGTTTTTTATTAGCTAGCGTCTAAAATTTTGAAGTCGCTTTATGACTTAAAAATTCGCTCTGAAAGAAAAAAAATCGAAGCGTTTATCGCCAGCGATAAGAAGCGCACGAAGTTAGCGACAAACTAGCAACAAGCGTCGAAAGAAGTATTGTCACAATTAGGTATGTTGTCGCTAACAAACTCTCTAAATCTGAATCAATTGATAGTCACTAATTACTCAGTGGCATATAATTAGTGAAGTTTAACTAAAAAAGGAAGAATATTTGAGCATTATGTAACCAAAATATTGATATTTGCATGTTAATTTCAATTTTCCAATACCATACTTATTGAATTTATGCACTAAAACAAGGTTAATTGGATCACATACAAAGATCAGCCAGGTTAGGGATCTCACATTTCATTCACTGATTACCAGTGGCATACTTGGCACTGATATCAGTGATTATTCACTGATTCAGATTTAGAGAGAGAGAGAGAGAGAGAGAGAGAGAGAGAGAGAGAGAGAGAGAGAGAAAGGAATCCAGCGTCTAGCGAATTCGCTACTAAAAACTTTTTCTAGACGCTGGATTCCTCTCTCTCTAAATCTGTATAACGTCATTAGATATCTAAATCGTCTCTATGGCCGGTATTCATAGTCAGAGCTTATATTCAAGACCGTCTTAAGTACGGTCTTAAGAAGTCACAAACCAATCAAAGGGCTGCATTAGCGTCTTAAAACATTACTTAAGACGGTCTTGAAATAAGAATCGACTATGAATAGTGGCCTATATCTGAATAACTTCACTAGACGCTGCTTTAAGCGAATAAAGTTGCCTCGTGTAAATCACCCAATATAGAGACAATATACTTTTGATGACGTTCATACAGCTTATGAAAACTCTGATGTGAAAAATCGTCTTTGGATATCGTCTAAAGTCTTGTCACACAGTTTCAAGTAGAACATAGAAATCATAATAAAATCATAAGAGTATTATTATGATCTTATTTGTTGTTATAAATTTATTTTTAAGTTCATTTTTAAATATCAAATGATGTCATGATGACGTCCTTCAATGATATCATTATGACTTAATTATGACTTTGTGTCCTACTTGAGGTTCTGATTCAAAACGTGTAATTCTTGAGTCAGCGTTGCGTTACCATTTTGAATCATTCTTCTTACTTCTCCGACCATACTCCAGCAGATTTCTTTTTGTGCCGGGAAATCAAAATCCATGACAAATCCGTTGTGTTTTCTCCTTGTGAGCAAGATAATAAATTAATTATCAGCCAGAAACTTTTGGCTGCCACATCATTAATGGCAAATTTTAATTATTACACATTAATTATTCGATTTTTCAAATAATAAAAGTTTAAATATATAAGTAATAATACTAGGGGAATTCTAACCCTGGTCCTCTAAGGGGGGTGCGGGGCGCGGGAGGTACTCATTGGCGCGGGGAAGGAGGGGGAAGTCCCGGCACTATCGGTTTTATGTAAACACCGGTAGCAATGATACGTGCCGCCATGTTCATGTAATCAGTGAATTAAATGAATCAGTGATATCCCTAACCTAGCTAATCTTTATTATGTGATCTAACTAACCTTGTTTTAGTGCTTAAATTCAATGAATATGGTATTAGAAAATTGAAATTAACGTGCAAATATCAGTATTTTAGTTAAATAGGTAATGCTCAAACATTCTTCCTTTTTTAGTTGAACTTCACTGATTATCAGTGCTAAATATGCCACTGAGTAATTAGTTTAGAATCCCCCTAGTATTATTACTTATATATATATTTGATTATTTAATAACTTCATTTAAAATAAAATTTTTAAATTAAACGTTTAATTAAAAAAAAATTATTTTTGTTTCAAAAAAAGTACAGAAAAATGAAATCGTTATTTGATGAAGAACATTTAAAATTTCTTTAATTAATTAATTCCGGAAGATTTTAATTTGCATTAGGTGTTCATCTTACATCACATATATTATTTTATATCGCTTTAAATCTTTAATTCAAGTTTATATTGTAGTCGGACGGCCACATAATCCTGCAATCCTGAGATACGTGCTCACGTGTGATTTATTGACTGCCATCGAGGAAAAGTTATTCTTCTTGTGGCGAGAAATGTAACGAGAACTCGATATATCAAGCGGTTACGCTAGCGATCATCTTGCAAAATTACAGTGGTCCAAAAAGGCATCGCGATAAATCTCACCGACGCATCTCGGTCTTCCGCGCTACGGTCGCCGAGGGCCGCAAAATTTGGGAGAAATTTGATACACACGATTTATCTCGACTCGACACCTTGCGTTATCCTTTTAGCGTCCGTGTCTGATCGGAAAGATGATCGATGCGGCAGATCAGGACGATTAAAGAACTCTAAAAAAAAAAATGAACGTCATTGTTGTGCTCTCTAATGGAAGAACGATGTCGCTTAACTTAAAAATAGTAACACGCACTTATTATATACAATGTAATATTAATATTTAAAATATGTTATAAAATATTTTATATTTAAAAAAGTGTCTATTAATACATCTATCATATAAAAAACTATACACCGTATGTAGTACGTCGTATTTCGTATTAACTCTACATTACTTGAGTAGTTTTTTTTACGTAATTAATTGCGTGAAAATCATCATAAAGTTACATATGAATCGGAAACTTTCGGCAATCATTATATCTATATATACATTCATATGTTAAACAATATTATATCTTAATTTTCATAGTTTTTCTTCATGATTTATAATTAAATAAAAATTAATATAATATTCTATATATTCTTTAGTTGAAAAAAAAGCAAAATAATTGTTTTAAATCGTGAAATCATTTATATTAAATATAACAATATAAATAAATATATAGCATTCATAGTTCTAGCGAATTTATAAAGGGTCTAAACTCTCCACCAGAATAATAAAGGATTAACATATAATGTTAATAATGTGCACAATATTAAAATAGAATTTGGTAGAAATGAGGATAATATGTATAAATTTTTAATATTATTTTTAATTTTTTAATAATTATTAAATCAGATCTTTTTATTCTCTTTAGTTCGTGTAGCTATTGATATTGCTCTAACGATTTCCTTTTATTTTTTATGATTTCTTTCCCATTCGCTGCTATCAGCAACATCTCATTATGAAGTTATCCAACAATTCCGCAAGGATTCTCTTTCTCCTACTTCGCGTTTGTTCGGTCGTCGAGTGTATGAACACGTACATGGTAACGCACGTATAGTTACAGCTTCGATAACCCGGGAATGTCCGTCTGTGTATATAAGTGCAGAGAAACGACGTGGAGCGACAGAACGTTAGCAACGCTAGGTGCAATATTGCCGATCGCCGGTGCACGCGAAATAAGACGATATCTGCTTGTGTACGACGTGATCTAACCGGATCTGCTATACGCACTTACGTGGAGGAAAGAACGGCTCCACTTTCCCATCTAGTTTGTCTATCAACCCGTGGGGATCCAGAGTACTTTGGACGAAAATGGCCAGGAAAGTCTGTCACGTCATATTAATTATTTCATTGTTGACCAGGTCAGTTCTTTTCGATGAAGATAATCAATTTCTTTCCAGTCATTCAGCAAGAAGGCTGCGTTCCAAATTTACTGCTAGCGCTGAAAATCTATACTGTACGTTACGTGTATTATAAATTTTCAACACTAACAGTGAATTTCGAAAAACAGCCGGTTGTGCAATCGAGACTGATGTCTGTCTCGAGGTCTCGTAAATTGAGCAGAATCCAGACTAACCAAACAAGTGCCAGCAAATACGAACGGACAACTTATATCTTGACACACGTTTATTGAAATGAATTGTTCGTGTATTTATTTGCTTGGTCTGGATTCAGTTTTAAACCACAATTATGAATATAAAAATGAACTATTTCCTGAATGCGCCGAGTGATTAGTGTCTGCGCAAATGATAACAGAATTTAACTATCGTTATGCATGTATTTATTCATGGTCAGCGCGTATGAATCATCGCGTTTTATAAATGCGCGAACTATAGTTTACCACGATTGCGAATACGTCTAGGCAAATAAACGAAGAGTATAATTTATCATTGATTCCTGACAGTTCCTGATACAATTATTTTATTTTACAGTGCTTATCTGGGAATGGCTGCCCCTAATTGGGAGACCGATCTTACAAGCAGTATCAATACAGAAGTGAATCGTATATTACAAAATTTGGATAGGAATATAGAAAATTTGGATAGGAATACAGAGAATTTGAATAAGCAAGTAGATAATTTGAATGCGCGAATACAGAATTCGGTGCAACAAACACTTGCGCAAGTCAACGCGCAAGTCGACGAAACACTCAGGAATCTACCAAAAGGTAATTTATTACAGAATATTTTACAATATCTATTGATGTTTATTTGATTTAAGAACTGCATCAATATGTAATAAAAATTGAACAGTCATACACTTAATAGCATAATTCAATTTTTGTTTAATTTAAATGAATAATCGAAAAGTTCAAAAAATTAAAAAACATAATCGCTTAAATCTTTGCATTATTTATATATTTTTTTATGCAACTAATAAATCCAAAGGATATAATAGAAATCATAGCAATTGTTTATGCATATACCAAAGTGTGTCACAAAACTAAATAGATGAATTTTTCATCTTATATCTTATATTTATACTTTACCATTGATATTTTTTAGCTTAATTTAACATTATTCATAATTTTATCCAATATTTTTTTCAAGCATCTGAATCAATATTTTCGATTCGAATGCAGTTATTTTCTCTCATTTCGCGTTCAAAAAATCTCGGAGCATCGATATCTAAATATAACATGTAAAAGTACAGTTTTTTAAATTTCTCGCACTCACGCGGTAGAGAGAAGTTTCGCGTTTGCATAATAGTTCACGCTTAGCGATATACTTTATCGTTACAAAAGATAAAGAAACGGAGATTCCAAAATTGCATCTTATTCGCTGCGTAGTCGACGTTCCTTTCACAATTGGCCGTGATACATAGCAGACACTTAGCATTCTCTATATTAAGTCTCAAGGCAGCCGATATTCTTTTCCCATTCATTCGATTCGATAATTCGTTACTGACGTTTAATTTCGTGCAACATTTATCTATGCAATTAGCACGTAGGTATGAGAGTATCGAATCAAATAGCGTTATCATCAGCGATTAGTATCGATAAAAATTTAATCGCCATAATACCCGCTTGAAATCGACCGGTCCGACAATTGATGACATTGTAATTTAAAAGCAATTAGTCCGGTATTATATAGGGTGTCATAAAGCTGCACTGCTGGCTCAAACAAAATTCTACTGTAATATCACACTACTGCTGATAATTAACTAAATTACAATTTGTTTAAAATAATTTCTCTTTTCCCCAAATAAAATATCAAATTTCTTTCAATAATTACATTGATTGATGATTGGTCATGCGCTGATTGTATAATCAACGTAAAGCAAACGTAAAGAAAAGAGAAAATAAAACGTATGCAACGAAAATTTTTTGTGCAGATGGACAAGGACGTTTAATAACAAATGGACAAGTAATAAGTAGTGGCGGCAGTAACGTCGTAATCAATTCTGTAAATGGTATTAGTATGATAAAGAAAACCGAATCTGGTTATACATTAGACGGAAAACCGTACGTGAATACTACTATAGATATAAATGATGGGAAATATCTTCAGCATGAAGCGACTTTTTACAATTCAACATCTAATGCTATGGAGAGAATTTGCTGGAAATTAAAGCTCGAAGTAGCTCCAGATGCTCAACCTGAATATTCCTCTTGTAAATAAAACAATACGTTTTTGTTTACATGTTCTATATTACGGTATACAATTTGTTTTGCTTAACCCTTTATTGCACAAATTTTTCTATTTTTCTATTGTATTTGGCTGAATTTTAGTATATAGGAATTTTTGAGGCTGATTGCAAATCTTAAGTCAAAATTTAAAAAATCAAAATGATATATTTAATATGGCAGCTAAATTGAAAAGAATTAACTGTTGTTTATTTACGTGTAAAATCTTATACGTAAAAATATTTAAAAATTATAAAGAATATTAAGAATATTAAGTATATAAAAGTTAAGAATATTAAGAATTTATAATAATAAGATATGACAACTTTGTCATATCTTATTATTATTTTTCGAATTTAAGCCATTACTTGATTGTATTGATATTTAAGAATTTATGTTTCATTAATATATAACAGAATTTAATATGTCTTGATAGTTATTTTGATTGCCATTTATAAAAATTTGTCAACTCTCTGAGTGCAGATTTAAAATCAGCGAACATTAATATAGGTAGAGGTTTTGAAGGTATATTTAAGGATAGGAGCAGACTTTCAAAATGCGTTTTGTCCAAAATTTATAATTTCTAGGAAATGAGAAAGAAAGCCATAAGAAAACTGCGCGCGCCTTGCAGAAAATAATAATTTGCAATCAGTAAAATGTGAAACGTTCAATAAAATTGTTAAACAGTTGTTAAAAATATTAAACATTTTGTTTGTCTCTAGGTAAAGGACGTAATTTACTTCGAATGTCAAGATTCTTTTCAGCACATAAATTGATGGTGTAGAAATGCTTTCAGAACATCATAGAGTAGTTTAAAATATGAATCTTTTAACATTGAACACTAAACTTCTTTAACTAAAAAAAGGAAATTTTGGACAAAATGTATTTTGGAAATCTGCTCCTAATTTATTATCATTTTTATCTCAGCATGAATTTTTTATAAAAAGAGTGCTAATTTTTATTGATTTTTTATTTCTAACTTATATTTACCGCAAAATAATTACGTATTTTTTGCTATTCACGTATACACACAAATTTTATATAACGATACTAAATACGTAATATAAATCAATTATCAAATATGTAAAAACATACAAAAGTTGCGGCGAGATCGAAAGGTATGCCTTCTACAGGCAACAAAGAATTAAAATTTTGCATAAATTAAGCTAATTGATAAACTAATTAGAAAAAAATAAAGCTACTTTCAAGCCTTTGTAGACAACAAAATAAATAGTAAGAGAAATTATGAAAACAAAAAGCAAAATACTGTTAGATTTTTATTCATTAGAATTTGATGCATTGTCAGAAAAATATGTTTTTCCCACTCAGTGTGGTGTTAAGAAGACCAATAATGGCGAAAGATGTTTGATAAGCACTTTTGCACGCTTCTTGGAATATCGTTATCTGTCGGAGAACGCAAACCGATCGTAAAGTGCAACAGTAAAATCGTGAGTTATGCGGTGGGGAAAGTCACACGATTATCAAGTTGCGCAAACTGACGGAATAAATACAGTTAATTTTTTATTATGGTTTTGTAAAAGGGCGTTTGAAATAACAAATTAAAATATGTGATAATATGACGTTATAGAGACTTTGCGGTATCAATATCGATATTCATTTCTTGCGGTTTCTTACTATGTATGTTCAGCTGAATAAGCACTCGTTATGACAAAGAAAATTCTCCTACTTGTGTACTTTGGCAACAATACGAATAAAGCCTTTCTTCGTTAAAACCTCTTGATAAAAACCAACATTTTCATGTGCTTCTTAGTAAAATTGATTATCTATTACTTAATAAAATTGATTTTATTGTCTGTATATCATTCTTTTACTTTTATTTCTTTCAAAACTGAGAGAAATTTAGTTCTACCAAAGAAAATACATTCTTAGCATCGAAAATGACTATAAATTATAGTTAAATTATATTAATTGCAACCATTTTTTTTCTTTCAATGCGCACAATATTACAAAGTTAAAATTAAAAATTATAATTACCATGTAAAATTACGTACAAATTTTTGTTCTTTTTATTATCTACGAGTATATTCAGCGTTTTCTGCTAAAGAGGATATTTAATAAACGAACGCATTTATGACAATTTACTTTACAATGATATGACTGAATACTTTCACGCATTTTATATATGCATTTCTATGAAAGCGCTGCAAATTTTAAAGGATGGCCTTATTGTGTGTCTTTTAATATACAGGAAACCTATCATTTAACCATAATAAAATATAAAGTACCGAGAAGAGCGGTCGTTTCAATTGAGAAAGGCGAAGAAAAGTGACGAATAAAAAAACGGGCATAAATTTGCACGAGAAAGAGGTCTGACCAATAAAGAATCATTTGTTACGATATATGACTACGAAATTTTCAAAGGAGGATATGGGTGGGGTACCGCATTTGCGTTTCGACGCACATACAGAATATATGTACATATGTGACATACATATACATATATGTTTTCATGCAATGGCGTCAAAACTATATGTGACAATAAAAATGTCGTTACTCAACTCATAATTATATTTGTAAATGCTATTATCTGTAAAAATATATATATGTATATATCATGTTTATGTTTTTGATATGTCTGCAATCGCCTGGCGAGAATGTGCTTTATTTCGGCTTAACTGCGACATTCATATTTATAGAATTTTTTAACGTGCTCGTAAATGTCACTAAAGGCTGCAAAAACACCGCATTATTTTCCTTCATGTTTCGTCATAAAGTAACACTCATCACTATGCAATTTTCACGATTTTATTTTCATGTAAATAAATTTAGCGCTAAAAGGCATTTCCTAGGCCCTAGGCGAATACAAAACTACGTAAATTGCGAGAAATTAGAAGCAGTGAATTGCTAAAAAATTACAAAAAACAAAATGGAAAATAGTATGCAAAAAAATGTACATACATATACTTTAAAGAGATGTTTTTACTCGTAAATATTGAATTACTCGAACATACGAATAAAAACGAAAGTTGTAGCGGTTTACGATCGTCAAACGCGAGCTTTCTTCCTACTTTCTTTCCTTTCGCCAGTCATCTCTACGCCATTGCCGATAGATTTACATACGCATACAAAGGAACACGTAATACGAGACTCCCTATGCACTTCGAAAAGAGATACTCCCACATGAGTTTCGGCTGCGTGCGAGGTCCTTCGGTTGATTTTTGGCCTTTCTTTTTTAAATGGATGTGGGATCATTGTCTACGCGTGACTACGACCACAAAACACGTGGGCGTAAACTGGTAGGGTCCGTCGAACATTAGCCCTTGAAATTTTACTACCCTACAGTAAAATTAGATTCTCTATTATCTTACAGTAAAATTGGACAAAACCGCAAATGTGCATTGATAGAGACATATTATTTAATTGACCCTTTTGTCATTTTCTTTAAAATTTATACACCGGACAAATAATCGTGACAAACTAAACTGATAAATGATTTAGAATAAAAATATGCAAATTTCAAAATGAGAATGTTATTATAATACAAAGATATAAGTTTATATTCTTTTTTACAAAAATCTAATACTGGCTAATTTAATATTGGCCAATTTATTACTAAAAGACGTTAATTAATTACTTATTTGGAATAGTAAAAATACTGAACAATAGTGTTTTTCGTAATAAAATACGTAATTAATTACTGTTTTTTAGCATTGGCTAGTATTAAATTTCTATAAGAATTTAAACCTTATTTTTATCGATAATTGCCATATTGATTTCCTAAGATTCTGTAGTATCAGTTATAATATTTCTAAACGTAAATTATATGCTAAATGCGCGCATTTATTGATAAAAGTAAGATGGGGATACAGAGTAAAGAATATAAATTTCAACGTGATGCGATTGCCTTCTTACTTTCATATTTTTTTCTTTAAAAGAATATAAAGTTAAATTAAAGTTTGTAAAATAAGATATTTAATGTATGAAAATCCTGCAAAAATCAGTTTACTTTTTATAAGGAATTTAAATGTAATGCCATTTTACCAATAATTTTTCTTTCATTTTGATTAATTAAGGAAATAACAATATTAGGAAATGTAAATAAAGTGTGTAGTTAGAGCAATTTATTTCCTCGCAGACGATCGAAAAACGCTCGTCAGACGATATATAAAATAATTATCTATCTCTTTGCTTTTGCACATCGGCTATACATTCTTGCAGTAAGCGAGACGCGTTTTCTAAAGCCGAACCTTTGTTTTCTTAATCGAATTGAGTGCCCTTATATTATAGCCAGTGAACGATAAAATGAGGTTCGCAGGGTACAAAAGTTGTTCCTCAAGTAAAAGTCAAGTTTGCGATACGCACAGCGTGATTTCGCGCTGAATTCATCTCCTTTTTTTTGCGTGTTGGTAAAGTTAAAGTTTTTCGCGGTAAGTCATTAAAATGCATAACTCTTACGGGAATGGGAAGCTCGACGAGATGAGATGTCTACGACGGAAACGTTTAATCCTTAGGGACACTAATTTGTCAGAACCGGTAACAGGAGGATCCCAAAATACGTCGTTACAGATGGTAATCGTCGGAAGAGCGCAAAAGAGGTCTTCCTCTGCGGAAACGTCGAAACGGAAGGAGAGATAGAATCGTTCAAAGCAGCAGAATTCCGATTTACGAATAGATACGCAATCTATGGGGAGTATTTTTTCACGTAGAAAAAAGGATTTCCTAGAACAAGCGATGTTTAAAATATGAAGCTCACTATTGATATGGACAATGCAAAATCCGCCGTCACTTTGTTGTTTTTTTTCAAATGTGTGAGAAAATATGTATACTTCATACACGAGGAAATTAAAATCGTATTATTCTAATATCTAGAAATACGACAAAGAGAATATAGTATATCTTGTATTTTTCTCTCAATTTCTAACTCATTGTAGATATAAACATATAAGTTACATTTGGAACTTGTTAATATTAGAAGATCTTAGACTATGCTACTACAGATACGTTGTTTATTATATATAAATTCTTGACGTTGTCTACACGGAAAGAAATCTGTTACGATTTTGGCACGAATAGTCGGTACTACTATCGCGTGGCCTATTTCAATGCGCTAATAGCACCATCGTTCAATCTGTTTATACATGAAGTCGTGCAATCATGGCACGAGAATCGCTATGAAAAAAAAGAACGTGATGCGTGCTATGGTCGTATTAGATTAATTTTAGCCGCACGAGCGCAGTACGCATAAAGCATTCCACTTCACCGTGCGAAATTCGTTCGAAACCCGTGCGATTTTGGAATGGCTTATCGGTTTGACCGTCAAATTTCTAAACCACGCCTTCTATGATGCATTGTGTGTTAAAAATTAAACATTTATGTGAAAAATGTTGCAGCAATAGTAAATATATTAATGCAAGTATTTGATGATTTATTTAAATTATAAAATTTTTGTTTCCTGAGTAATTTTTTAATTATCACATTCTTACAGAATTTACTATTGTCTTTTTTCAGAGAATAAATTAATCTATTGATCTTATTTTTCGCGTAACACCTATTATTATTCATTTTTAATTACTTTTTATTTTGTTTGAATATACATATATTATGTGATAAACTATCACTGTTTAAATAAAATCTTCCTCTCTAAATTTGAATCAGTGGATAATCACTAATTACCCAGTGGCATACTTGACAGTGATAATTAGTGAAGTTCAACTAAAAAAGGAAGAATGTTTGAGCATTACATAACTAAAATACTGATATCTACGCGTTAATTTCAATTTTCCAATACCATATTCATTGAATGTAAGTACTAAAATAAGGTTAGTTAGAACACATAATAAAGATTTAATTCACTGATTACCAGTGACATACTTGGCACTGATATCAGTGATTATGCACTGATTCAGATTTAGAAAGTATATAACCACGTTGCATTATGATCCTATTAGCAAAGTAATCTACTTATTGGTAGAATAAGTTTCTCCTCCCGTTTCTTGCGTCGATTCGAGCATCACTCTCGATCGCTACGATTACGTAACGTGTGCGATAAAATGACCCGATCGACATCTTCATTCCACGAGACTTTTTACATTGAAATGCGTCGTGATAGCGGTGCTAATTACCACGGAGATACAGTAAGGATGTTTATATGTTCCCTCCTTTCCGCACTAGTACGCATACGTGCGCGTGTATGTGCCGTTATGATTGCAAGGTGATGCAGCCGGGAGGTAATAACAACGCTCGATCGTTTTCCTTTTTTCGATCTCTCTTCGCGTCTTCGGCCCGGATGTAAATTTTTTTTCAAAATTTTACCGGGACACTCGCGCCTCCGTCGCCATATTAATTTCTACTTTATATGCCGATTGCAACGAGCTACGAACCCGCGGCATGGGCGCACGCCTCGTAACTCATCGGAAATTATGCAGCGCGGTACCACTTCGACGTTTCGTTACTTTACGAGGGTGCAACCTCGGTGCTCCTCTTCGTCTCCCTTTCCTCCATCCCCCCCCCCCCCCTCCCCCCTCTCTCTCTCTCGCACTCTCTTCCATAACCGTGTTGCGATTTTCGAATCACACGCGAATGGATTTCGCTGAGAAGATTGGATGAGCTTAGGGAATTGAAAGTCGTAGAATTTCGAACGAATTTCGGTTTCCAATTTTGTAGATACGAAATATCATACCAAATAATAAATGCGAATATTACATTTTTATAATTCTAATTTTCATACATCAAAGCGCCAAAATTTCAGTTTGTCGACATCATACGTCTTCTTAGATACTGATTTAACCCTTATAAGTATACCATATACGATATAATTGGGTCATTCGAGTCGTAAGCATTTTTTTTCTTTGAATGTTAGGAGCATTAAACTAAAATGGTCTCTATCGTTTTCTTTTCCTTTTTAACTTTATAAATACTTTCTAAAGATGTTTAAGTACGTAAAAACTTTTTAAAGATGTTGAAGTATGTAAATAATTTTTAAATATCTACTTATAAAAATGATGAAAATTAACTCGGAACACAAACAATTCATCGTGTGTGGTAAAAGATCAAAAAATTATCGTGTACTAAGGATTAAAAAATTAGGAGGAATCTGGCGGAGTCTTGTTTTTATCTATAAAAGGTATCCATAAATGATTTTTGACAAATAATTTTTTGTACAAATGTTGCTTACTGTGAATCTGCTCGGTTTATTGGCCGCGACATGCGTCCGATAATCTCGCCCCCCATCGATATTTCTTTCGACGCTTATTAACACCACCGCGCCGTCGTTTATCGCACTCGGTCGTATTTTTCGCGATTTTACCGCTGCGCATTTCTTTATAGTAATTTAAGCGCCGTCCGTGGAAAACATACGCACGCACCAACGAAAATACAAGGCAATAACAAAATGCGATTGCCGCCAGTCGAGCCAAGTCCCGAGCAATCCTCCCGCGGGTTCCTACACAGAGTTTCACTCGCACAGAACGGCTACCAACTTAATTTCTACTTTATATACCAATTATGCCATCTCGAAGCGCACGACTACGTGACACGACATGGCCGTTCGCTTC